GGCTACTCGGAAGGCTGAGGCGGAAGGATCGCCAGAGCCCAGCAGGCGAGGCTGCGGTGGCCGGGAGCGGCCACTGCACTCCAGTCTGGGCGACTGAGTGAGACTCCAACTAAAAAAAGAAAGAAAGAAAGACACACAAAGTATTTATGAGTAATAAGGTATCATGTCTGTAATTTCCTCTCAAACAGTTCAAAAAACAAAAGTATAATATTTGGGGTTGAGAGGAGAGAAGAGAGAGAACATAATAAAACAAAAGCAGTAAAATGCTAGCACTTGGGAAATCTGGGTGAAGAGTAAAAAATTTTCATACTATTGCTACAACTTTTCTGTTAGTCTAAAATTAGCCACAATAAAAGTTGGAACTATTGTACTTCTCTTATTTCTCTTGCATTCCCTCTCAATGAGGTCACAATGACAAAAACTCAGTAAGTTCATCTTTGCAGCCCTCATAGCCCCTGACACAGCAGCAAAGACAACAAATGAATTAATCATAACTGCAATACAGCATTAAATGTGTCCGGAAGCCGGGCTCGGTGGCTCAGCCTGTAAACCCACGCCTTGGGAGGCTGAGGTGAGTGGACTGCCTGAGCCCACGGGTTCGAGACCCACCTGGGCAACTTGGCGAGACCTCAGTTCTACAATAAATCAAAAAAATTAGCCAGGCATGGCAGTACACGCCTGTAGCTCTGGCTACTTGGAAGGCTGAAGTGGAAGGATCGCCGGAGTCCAGCAGGCCGAGGCTGCGGTGGTTGGGAACGGGCACTGCGCTCCAGTCTGGGCGACAGAGTGAGACTCCGACTCAAAAAAAAAAAAAATGTGTCCGGAAAAAATGTATACTGAGAAAACTATAAAAGCATTTTTATAAAAAGTCTAAAGCAAAAAGGTGGGAGGGGAATGGATTAATTTGAAATGTACCTTTTCCTCTCTCCAGGGCCACAGGTAAAGGATGGTAATTGTGTGCACCGTATTTAGATTCCCTTTCGAAAATGGAATCAAAGGTTGGAGGGCCTTGGACTGTCTTTTTCGTTGCAACAGATGTAGCAGAAGCCACTGAAGAATGAACTCCGCGGCGAAGCACAGTCTGCAAAAGTGCTAGTTTGGAAAACATTGTGTCCTTCAAGTAGGAAAACCACAGATCTGTCAAAAAAAAAAAAAAAGGAGAAGGCAATAAATTGAGAATCTTGAACTCAGGAGGCTGAGATGGGAGGATCACTTGAGCCCAGGAATTCAAAGCCAGACTAGACAACAGAGCGAGACCCCATCTTTAAGAGTGAGAATCTTTCCAGAGTGATAGGTTGTATGTTGCCTCAGTAAGTACCTACTAAACACTTTCTTTTTTTTTTTAATCTGAATCTCATTCCAGACTGGAATGCCAGACTGGAATGCAGTGGTGCAATCAAGGCTTACCAAAGCCTTGACCTCCTGGGCTCAGGAAATGCTTCTACTTCAGCTCCCGAGTAGTTGGTACAATAGGCGCACACCACCACACTCAGCAAATTTTATTATTTTTTTGTAGAGATGAGGTATTATAATATTGCCCAGGGCTGGTCTCAAACTCTTAGGCTTAAGCAATTGAAAACTATTTTCTCTTGGCCTAGTGCAGGTGGCTCATGCCTATAATCCCAGCACTTTGGAAGGCCAAAGTGAGAGGACTGTCTAAACCCACGGGATTGAGACCAGCCTGGGCAACTTGGTAAGATCTCATCTATACAATAAATCAAAAAATTAGCCAGATGTGATGGTGCATGCCTATAGTTCCATCTACCTGGAAGGCTGAGGCAGAAGGATCACCTGAGTCCAGCAGGTCGAGGCTGTGGTGGCCATGAATGTGCCACTGCACTCTAGCCTGGGCGACAGAGTGAGACTCTGACGCAAAAAAAAAGAAAACTATTTTCTCCTTCTTTGTGAAGAGGAAGAATTTAGCTTCTACAAAGATAATAGAAAAGGAAGATCCTGACCAGGCACAGTTGCTCATGCCTATAACCCCAGTACTTTGGGAGGTGGGGGCAAGAGGACTGCTGGAGCCCAGGTGTTCCAGATCAGCCTGGGAAACATGGCGAGACCTCATCTCTAAAAAAAATCAAAAAGTTGTCCAGGCATGGGGCAAGTACCTGTGGTTCCAGTCACTTGGGAAGACTGAGGCAAAAGAATGGCCTGAACCCAGCAGGTCAAGGCTGCAGTGGCCATGAGTGTGCCACTGCATTCCAGTCGGGGTGACAGAATGAGACTCTGACTCAAAAATAATAATAATAAAATAAAATTTCTGTAGGCAAAGTTTACCATAAAACAAAGGCAAAAGGCAAAAAGATTTGGGAAAAAATGTTTTGTAATTTGTAATACCTTTAAAGAGTTTATTTACAATAGGATGAAAAGGCAAAAAATATACATATAAATATTAAAGACGCTCCCCCAAAAAGCAATTTACAAAAGAAAAAACCTATTCTGCTAGGATGGTTGTTTCTATTAAACTTATCCTGAAAAAAAACCGCATAAAAGCAACTGTTTGAAGTAGAAAAAGGTAATCGGGAACTGGAGACCATGAAACAACATTTATTTGTATGAATGCTAGTAATAAAACCTATTTCAAAGTCTCAGCTACTCTCCCCAGGGACATCTAACACTTAAGCCAGGCCCCGCTTTTGCATACCTCTATCCAATTTACCATTAAGCATCATGATAACCCATGACACAGAAACTAAGATTAAGAACAGAAAGAAAATTAGGGAGTGTGCATGGGAGTCACATCTGGAAGAAAAAAAGTTTTTTAAAGATAAATTCACGATTAGGAGAAAGTTGTCAAAAACTAAGCATACTTAGTACCTTTGTACTTTTTTTTTTTTTTTTTTTTT